AGGTGAAAGGACTTTGGCAGTGTTGGTGCTGTGCAGTGAAAAGTACAGGCCGTTCTTTGCATGGTAGTGTAATGCTGTAAAAATGAAAGTGCAAGTGGAATCATGCGGAGTGGTCTCAATGATGAGAAAAATGTTAATTTAATGACTTAACACTTCTTGTCAGTGTTAAAAATTAAAAGCTCTCTTGTCGACTGTACTTGAGAAATGAAAAAATAGATGCTGTAATTTAAAACATGTAATACTCTCAACAATAAATATTTTTTTTTAAAAAAGATTTTGTTTCTTTGTAAAAATGTATCAAAATAATTTGAGCAGTACTTATTGTCTAGTGATATAACTTATAATTCAGAACAGATATCTTTTCTATGCTTTGGCAGGTGTGTGTGTGTGTGTGTGTGTGTGTGTGTGTGTGGTGGCAGGGGAACAGGTGGTCTGCTGGCTTCAGGAGATAGCGGCCATAGGAAGGGCATTCCAGGTTGAGAGAAATCCAAGCAGGAACACAGAAATGAGAAGTTTCAAGACGTGTCAGGAGAGGCTCAGGTTCATTAGAGTGAAATGAAGCCTGACAGGTAGCTTAAAACCAGCCCATAGATCGAGGTTCTTAGTTCCCCTTACTGAGTGCCTATTTCATACCAAATGTAACCAGTGAGTTAGGATTTATTTTATGAGGGATTTTGAATAGTTTTACTTTTATATGTTTGCAATACTCATAGCCAAATTTGAACAATACAAAAATTAACAAGATAGTAAAAAGTCTCTTCATCCTGAGTCTCTTTGCACAGAGGTAATAACTTTTAGCAATTTAGTGTGTCTGCTTCTGGACTTGTAACTACGCATATACAAAGAGTTACACATTTCTTTGAAAGGCAGGATGATATAGCATATATTGCTGCACAGCTAAGTTGATTAACTTAATAATCTAACACGTTTCTGTGCCAGTGAGTCCAATTGACCTCATTCTCTTAAAGGCTGTGTGGCAACACAGTACTCAGATATACAAACTGATCTAACAAGATTCCTAGATTTAGGTTATTTCTTGCTTTTTAGTTACGATGCTATAGTAAATATTCTTGTATATTTATGCATATCTGTGAGTGAAATATATATAAAGAAAATAGCTGGATCAAGGGTTTTATAATTTAAAATTGACATTTTACCAAATTGTCCTTCAGTAGGCTATAATAATTTGTTTCTCTTTATAGTGCCCATAACTTCATATTTTTAATTTTTTCTAGTTTAATTGGGGAATTGTCTTAATTTGTTCTTATTGGGTCATTAATGATGGGGAAGCATCTTTTCATAACTTTGTTGGCCATTTATATTTTTCTTTTGGGAATTGCTTGATCCGGAGTTTTGCAATTTTTAAAAAATCTGCTGTACTTTTTTAAGGTTGACTTGTTGTACCCTCTAAAATATGGGTAGGAGCCCTTATAATCATTAATTCATACATTCTTCAAATAATTGAGTGCCTGCTGTGTGCTGGTGCTGGGAACATATTGATGAACATGACAGGTATGGATCTTACAGTGTAGTGGGACATACAGACAATAGTGGGATGCTCAGTTATAGAATTAAAATTGTGATTAGCCCTAACCAGTTTGGCTCAGTGGATAGAGTGTTGGCCTGCGGACTGAAGGGTCCCAGGTTCGATCCCAGTCAAGGGCATGTAACTTGGTTTCGGGCACATCCCCAGTAGAGGGTGTGCAGGAGGCAGCTGATCGATGTTTCTCTCTAATCGATGTTTCTAACTCTCTATCCCTCTCCCTTCCTGTCTGTAAAAGAAAAAAATAAGGTTTTTTTTAAAATTGTGATCAGTATTTGGAAACAAGGGGGTCTAATCCTAGACCTGGGGATTAGAGAACAGCTGTGTAAAGTCCAAGAAATGAGGAACATCAGATGACTTGGAGGAAAAGAGCTCCGGGTGGAGTTAGGGTGGAGAGGTAGAACTTCCAGAGCCTTACAGGATTTTGTTCTTTGTCCTGAGGCTGGGGAGAGTTTGGAGGACAGTGGCCAGATGAATTGAAGTTTGCATTGTACAAAGGTGACTGCCATCAGGGTGGAAGTGGCAAGGAGCACTGCAGGGCGATACATGGGGAATGGGGAGGAGACAGATATCCAGGAAGCAGGAGCAGTGAACAACAAGCTTCAAGTCCTTGTGGAAGAAAACCCAAGAATGTCAAGGACAGATGTTTCCCAGAGAAGCCACGTTAATATTGGGGCGGAGGGGCATTGGTTCTTCTTAGCTGAGGTTTAGGCCAACGGCCTATGATGGTTTGCTTAGTTAAATTAGACAAGTGGTTTGGTTTTATCCTAATTTGGTTTTAGCACTGATTTTTCTGTTGTTGCGCAGCCTCCTTTTGAGAAATAAAGGTTTTATAGCAAGTAATTTTGACTTTTATCAACTCCCAGAGTAATTTCAAAGCACTAATTAGACACTTCTCTGCAGCCTGCCAGCACTTTTTGTGTTTTTTAATTTGAGGTAGAGTGTGTATTTTATCTATGTGATATCAAGGTCGCAATAAATTGTTACGCTGTACTAAGGCTTGCTGGTTGCCTGAATTTTATTCTATATCTTTGGATTTTTGTTTAGTTCTTAAATTACCATTTTCAATGTAAGCTACCATAAATCTTGAAACTAATCATTTGCCTGAGAACCTTTATGATAAATGATCAAAAATAAAACAAAATTCTCAGGCTAAAAAAATAAAATAATTTGGTAGAGTTTCTTGTAATTTAACTGATGTTGGCATGTATATTTTGTATATAATTATGAACAAAACAACACTGATGTAAAATTATAAGCACTACTAAAGTTTTTGTTTAAATCTTAAATATGTCGCAGTGTGGATAAATATATAGGTATTCTTCCTGCTTTCTGTTACCTGTTTGTTTGCATTGTTGTTTTTCAGTCTTTTGAATTTAAATGCCATTTGAGCCTCAGAAGTTTAAAATCTGCAGAAGCAGTTAGTAACTTTTGATTTATGTTTCACTAGTAAGTAGATTGAATCTGGTCATTTTATTCTCAGCAGATAAGAATTCTGATGAAGGAGGATCAGAGATTCAATGCATGCAAAGTAGCATAAGAGAGCAAAAGTGTAATTAACTTATTGATTACAATTGAGGTGTAGATAGCAAGCACTTTCTGAACCTTCTCCTAAGATTAAAGAAAAAATTGTAATGAAGTGCAGAATGTTCTTAAGGAATGCAGTCATATCATACATTCTCAGCAGAATTAGCTCTTGAGCTTTGAGAAAATAAAGAGGCAGGCAAGATATTTTATTTACATACTGAATTGTGTAAAATGTTTCAAAAATAAATGAGAAGAAGGTTGACTTTTTAAAACTTTCCTATGGTACTTGTGAACCTTTTCCCATGACTTAGAAAAGGCTACCTTTTATCCAGAGAGAAATCCCATGTCATTTGGCATTCTTTTACTACCACATGTGATTCTCTACCAGCACATCTCTGCTCTTTGGGGGACATCTTTTTAGGTCCTTCACAGAGGAGACTTTCATGGTCTTTGAGGTTCTGTTGTGTCTTTCAGGCCCATCATATAGGATAGTATTAATGTTTCGGGTAATGTGCTTTTCTAGTAGAAACTAATTTTTAATATTTACCTATGCTAGTTAATGATTGGATTTCCCATCAGAGCAATTTCTTTTTTCCAGTGATCTCTTGCAGTGGTTTTGTTGTGAGTGGTAAGTAGAGCAGAGTGTTTGCTGGGTGCAAGCTCCTGAGCATTTTGTAACCCAAAAGGTGGAAACAGCTGATCGTTTCGAACTTTTCCTGTATGTTTGAATAATACAAATTCTTCTTAGTCTACGTTTTGGAATATATAGATTTTTTAGTGGATATTTTAACCTTTTGAATAGGTAATATAGTCACGTGGTTCACATTTCACGAGATAGCAAAAGTTGACAATTCAGTGTAAGAATTCCTATGTAGGAGCCACAGTGAGTTTCCTCTCCACCCTCTTCCATCTGCATAAACTGGTTTCCATACGCATCTTCATATCATCCTTTTAGACCGTGTGTGTTGACCTTTCTTTGACACTGTGTTTGAGTTTATATTTTTTGAGTATCTTTTTGATTTGACTGAGGTGTAACCAGTTTTAAAATACTCTCCATATGCTCCAAGTCCTCATGAGGGTTAAACTTTTTGAAGTGCAGCTTTCTATCCCTAAGCAACATGGTTTGCTTAGGGTCAGGTTTTAATGTCCTCTAGGAATTAGTTCTATTTCCCCCCATTTATTCACTTAATTAAAACATTTATCAAGGACTTTTCAAATATACACAAAATAGCAATCCTTAGATATGTGATTCTTAAAATAGGGATCTAGATTCACAAGACTCATTACCTGTTTAAAAATAGAAGTCTCAAAAAAAAAAAGTCTTACTGCAGATTTACCACTCATTGTTAAGAAGACAAAAATATAACATTTGATCTGATATGGAAATATCTCCAAGATAAGTGAAAAAAATAAGGTTCACCAGAGTGTTTATTGTATACACCTTTTATTTTTTTAAAAAGGAAAATAAAATACATATTCACATTTACTTGTATACGTCTAAAGTAACTTTGGAAGGATGCAATAAGAAAACAACCAAAGTAGGAACAGGGAAAGAGACTTTGAACCATGTGAAAATATTAAAAATATAGCACAATAATGGTTGTTTCCCCAGGAAAATCTCTAGATTTAGGTAGCAGGTCTTTTGACAATACCAAATTTATTTAGAAATAAATTGTAAAATTCACTTTAAAGAGAAACGTTTATTTAAAAATTTACAATTTGAAATTATAGTATAATAATGGTTGTTTCCCCCTGGAAAATCTCTAGATTTAGGGAGTAGGTCTTTTGACTGTGCCAAATAGTCCATGAACTGCCAATTATGAGAAATATGCTTTAAAGACTACCTTCTTATCCCTACCCCCAAATGGCAGAGAGCTTATTTTATTGTAACCTATTTTCCCTTTTCTTCCCCCACCTTCTTTTTTTAAAGGCTGGTGGGGTAGCAGGTGTCTCTGTTGATTTGATATTATTTCCTCTGGATACCATTAAAACGAGGCTGCAAAGTCCCCAAGGATTTAATAAGGCTGGTGGTTTTCATGGAATATATGCTGGCGTTCCTTCTGCTGCTATTGGATCCTTTCCTAATGGTAAAAATTGTATTGGTATTCTCCTGCTATAAAGCCAAGATAATAGGATTATTTTCAGAATGGTGGGTGGTGGTACTACATACAGAATTTCTTACTTGTTGGGACTTCTGAATTTGTTTTCCATTCATTAACCAATTATTTTAATCAGCTGTAGATCCCATTACACTGTATTTATAATAGAAAAAATATGAGCAATCTTTTAAAAATGGTTTTTGTTATTAACATTTCCACTTAGAATCCTTAAAGTGTTCTAACATTAATTGTGATGCCTTAGAGCAGTTTCTCAACCTTGCCTGCACATTGAAATCTCTTGAGAAGTTTTAAGAATTACTGATGCCTGTGTCACACCCAGAAGTTTAATTGGTCTGGGCTTTGCAAGGTTTTAGTAGCTTCCCAGGTGATTCCAGTGCGAAGGTGAGTTTAATAGCTGCTGCCTCGGAGAGTCTTCTGAAGCCGATGAATCTAAGAGGCATTACGCCTTTTTTGTCTTCACGGAATTGCTCTTAGTTGATGCAACCAATTCTGCTAACCTCCTCGATACTCTCCTCCCAGTGTCTTGCTAAAGTCACATTATATGATGTATGGCCTCTTATTCTAGAATCAATATCATCTGTTTTACTTAATCCACTTGTTGGTATACTGTACTTTTTTCAGATATTTACCTCATTTTAATTGTTTATTGATGTTTTGTGTGGCATTGGAAAGCAACCAAACAAACAAAAAAATCACCACCACCACACACACACAATTATAGAACCTCTGCTGTAGGAGATTCTTAAATCCTGGGGTTCGATTTCTTTTTTCTCAAGATAATTTATGAGAAATTCTTTCAGGTTCACTTGACATTTAACTGTCCGTCTGTGTCCCCACGTGAGCACAGCATTCACATAGAGGTTTGTGGTGCACGGACAGCACAGTGTTTGGTTCCTTTGTTTCTTTTCTCTTCCCCTTGCTCCATCAGCCCTGAGACAGCAAACTGTTTTGAGATTACCCTTGAGTTTTTATTTGTCGCGGTGCTTCAGTAATTGATGATAGCATGTCATTGTTGAGCACCCAGTCAATGATAACTGTGTGTGTGTGGGCGAGGGGCAGGTTCCTAAATTTGACCACATTGCAGCCCGGTGATCGCCTGGGCCGATTTTGTGAAGTCCTGTTGCCTGTGTCCTGCTTCCAGTGATCTTGATTTAATTGATGGGCTGTCACCTGGGAGTTGGAAGTTTAAATTAAAAAAAAAAAAATCTCCAGGTGGTTTAATAAGCAGACAAATTTGGGAATCTTTGAACAAGGGAATTGAAAGGCATACGTTACTAATGTACCTATTACTAGGTCCCTATCTTTTGTTCATCAGTTTTTGTTTTTAATCCTCACCAGAAGATATGTTTAGAGAGAGGGAGGGAGAGGGAGAGAGAGAAACATGTGAGAGAGAAGAACATCAATGGGCTGCCTCCCGTATGCGCCCTGACTGGGGATCTAATCCAAAACCTAGGCATGTGCCTTGACTGGGAATCAAACCTGAAACCTTTTAGTGCATGGGATGATGCTCCAACCAACCGAGCCACCTGGCCAGAGCTGTTATCATTTTTATGGTATCTCCATCATTGTCCTAAAGATGTCTTTTCCTTACAGATTGCACCTAGGAATCACTGTTGGTAGGTGTAGCATGGTCCATAGTCTGCAGGGCACATGGTGCTCCATTCATCTCACAGCACTGGTTTAGATTCTTGCCATCAGGAGTTTACGTACAGAATATGGTTTCAAATTTTTGTGTGTGTGATAAAGTGGTGCTCTTGCCAGGCCCCTTTATTTTTTATTTTTTCCATCCACAGAACATTATTGGATAGGAGATGCTGCCTAAATAGTGTCAGAGTTTCAGAAATGGTCTTTTTGGTTTTCTGTAAATTGTTGGTGAATTGAAATTTTCTATGTGGCACTTTTTTCTTTCTGTTGTTTTTGGTTCAAGTCCTAGTCTGAATAATATTCAGTGGTGTTGGGGCCAGTTCCTCAGCCAGGGACTTGATCCCTCTGGGTGTAGGAAATTGGAACAATACATGGGTGACAGTAGGTAAGTGGGACATGCGTTATTATGAACAAAGTAGCCCAAAACTGGCTCATCAGTGGCAACTTATGTACATTAACATAAGCAGGGCATATAAGGGTGCGCTTGCGCAGTAGTATATTGCTCCTGCTGAGTCATTGCCCTCGTGCATGTGTAGGGCAAAGGGGCCTTTAACATGGTAATACTGCTGTGTCCTTGGCTGCTCGCACGTGTATGGTGAGTAGGCCTTGAACCTCCAGTGGACTCTGGTCAGGGCCCGGCAAGTGGCTGTAGCCTTTTTTTGAGAAGATATTCTGAAAGGGTGAGTTGTTGGGGACGGAGGGGACTGAAGGTCGAAAGAGGAGACAAAAAGACCTGATTACGGATCCCTACTCCCTTTAGAAGGGAATGTCGTATGGTGAGTAGGCCTTGAACCTCCAGTGGATTCTGGTCAGGGTCCGGCAAGTGGCTGTAGCCTTTTTTTGAGAAGGTATTCTGCAGGGGTGAGTTGTTGGGGACCGAGGGGACTGAAGGTCGAAAGAGGAGACAAAAGGCCTGATTACGGATCCCTACTCCCTTTAGAAGGGAATGTAGAAAACCCATAGCAGTGGTTTTTTTGTTTTGCTGGTTTTGTTTTTTAAGAGCTGCAAGAGGCTGTAGATATCAGGTAGCCCACCCCCGCTTCTTTGTTGTAACTTGCCTAGAGCCTCATTTGGAACCTTATTTTGCCATCATTTCCAATTGGCAAGGGCTTTCTTGGGTGTCACCCAGGAGACTTTGGGCTTACATTTCTAAAGGACTTGGTCTATCATAAAAGTAGCAATATGGTCTGACCAGGTGGAGGTGGTTAACCATGAAAACCTGGAACTTTTAGCAGTCTTTCTCCCTTCTCCCAGAGGCGGTGGGAGGGTGGATTGTGTAGCAGGTGGAGGAACTGTTCCAGTTGTATTTTAATGAGTGGGCTAAAGGAATGAGTGTGTCTCCTTAGGAACCACCAATGGAAACAGGGACCTGTGTTGACTATATAAAACTGCTTTCATGGGTCTTTGCTCTTCAGGGGACAGGTGCTTCCATTGATGTGCGTTAGTTACCAGCCTGAGGAGTGTGGACAACAATAAAGCTTCACTATCAAACTCCTTTCCTGTGTGTTTCAGACTTTAATGTGACATGTTCAGATGTCTTTCAAAAGATGAATTTGTCTCTCATTTATTTTCTGTGCCTTATCTTTTGTGAAAGTGATGAACATGCTTTGGTTCTCGATACATGGCAGGCCGTAAAGCCTCTGCAGCTAGATCAGTGCATGGTGATAGGAGTAGCTGTTAGAGATTTTGATTTCCAGTTTTAATTGTTTCCTTGATGTAAAGTGGGTTGATGTAGTAAAAAGGATCCATGGTTATTTTGAATAAACAGCAATAAAATATCATTAGATATTTAGTTAGTTATTTAGTTATTTATTTAGTTAAGGTTTATGTTTGTAATTTTAACCTGTCTATACTGATTATTTTATGTTTGTATAGGGATATTTTATCCCTTTCTAGAAAGCTTACTAAAAATGTCAAGTGATTTGTTAGTACAAAATGGTAAATACTAGGTTATCTATGAGGCTCCTTTGGGGCAGGTATCATGTCTTCTGCATTTTCATAAGTCCAGGGTTGGGCATATAATATGGGTTTGGTAAATTCTGCAAAAGTGAGGAGAGTAGGGAAAGAATATGTGTTTATTATTTTTATCTTGTTATGTCATAATTTATTAACAAAAGTTGTAATTTTTTTGACAAACGTATTTGCTGACTTTGTGAAAGACTGGCTTGTTTAAATTTCAGCTGCTGCCTTTTTTATCACCTATGATTATGTGAAATGGTTTTTGCACACTGATTCATCTTCACATTTGATGCCTGTGAAGCACATGTTGGCTGCCTCTGCTGGAGAAGTGGTAAGTAACGTATATAAAATACTTCAGAAATATAATTATGCATGTATCTTCATATATGCACAGTCTCTATACAGATATTACTTTATTTTTTAATGAAATAAAAAAGACAGTATTTTTTAAGCTATGAAAGTTATAAATTTTAATAAACGTAAATGGGTTAAACATGATAATTAAAAGATAGACTCTACATAGGATGAAAGAAAAATTCAGCTGTGTGCTATATGCAAGAGACAGACCTGAAACAGAAAGAGTAAAATTAAAGAGGGAAGAAAACATCCATGCAAATTGTGGTGGCTTTGTATTATGTCAACATAGAACTGAGCTGAAACTCTTTTTCCCAGAACTCCCTTTCCAGGACGGTTCCAGGTTAGGCTGACCACAGGAAACATTTGTACAAGAGGTGTAAGGCGGAAGTGAAGCAGATGTGTTTATGCTCGGAAGGTTGGTGTAGGGTCAGGCGTGCTTGCACTTCATACACCTCCTCACTGACCTGGGGACTCAGGCAGCTGCTGTAGCTCCCTTCAGCTTCTCTGCATTCTGAGTCCAGAGGTGTGGGCACTGTGGTGAGGGTGGCAGCTTGTACTGCAGGTCACTCTCATCAACTCAGAGACAACGTGAGGTTGTCCTGGATTTCCCCATATCACATCCCTCTTTCCTTTCTGATCCCCTGCCCTGTGACTTCTGTCCCAACACTACACATAGGAGTTACAGTTCTACATAAACTGCTTACCCAGCTCCCACAGTTACTGTTCACATTCCTATAACCTCCATTCTTATCAGTCATAGTGGTTCTACTTCCGATCCACCCTGCCTGATACAGAGATACTAACTGGAAGAGCTGATAGAATAATGTAATACCAGACAAAACAGGCTGAAAGCAAAAACCAAAGAGAACATTGTGTAATGACACAAGGAACAGTTCTCCTGAGAGATGTAATGAACCAGAACCTGGACTAAATAGCCCAGGCTCAAAATATAAAACAAGAATTTCCAGAATTATAAGGAGAAATGATTAAAAATGTAATCTACCTATCAACACAACAGCAAGATTGATCTAATAGCTATGTATAGAGCTCTGCACCTAACAAAGATTATTAATTTTTATGAAGTATACTTGGAATATTAATTAAAATGTATAACCCAGTACTTCACAAGCAACTTAAAACAAATAGTGTAGAGACAATATCATTAAATCATTTGGTTGCTGATTCTAATGAAGAGGTGTAAGGCGGAAGTGAAGCAGATGTGTTTATGCTCGGAAGGTTGGTGTAGGGTCAGGCGTGCTTGCACTTCATACACCTCCTCACTGACCTGGGGACTCAGGAAGCTGCTGTAGCTCCCTTCAGCTTCTCTCATTCTGAGTCCAGAGGTGTGGGCGCTGTGGTGAGGGTGGCAGCTTGTACTTCAGGTCACTCTCTTCAACTCAGAGACAATGTGAGTTTGTCCTGGATTTCCCCATATCCCATCCCTCTTTCCTTCCTGATCCCCTGCCCTGTGACTTCTGTCCCAACACTACACATAGGAGTTACAGTTCTACATAAACTGCTTACCCAGCTCCCGCAGTTACTGTTCACATTCCTATAACCTCCATTCTTATCAGTCATAGTGGTTCTACTTCTGATCCACCCTGCCTGATACAGAGATACTAACTGGAAGAGCTGATAGAATAATGTAATACCAGACAAAACAGGCTGAAAGCAAAAACCAAAGAGAACATTGTGTAATGACACAAGGAACAGTTCTCCTGAGAGATGTAATGAACCAGAACCTGGACTAAATAGCCCAGGCTCAAAATATAAAACAAGAATTTCCAGAATTATAAGGAGAAATGATTAAAAATGTAATCTACCTATCAACACAACAGCAAGATTGATCTAATAGCTATGTATAGAGCTCTGCACCTAACAAAGATTATTAATTTTTATGAAGTATACTTGGAATATTAATTAAAATGTATAACCCAGTACTTCACAAGCAACTTAAAACAAATAGTGTAGAGACAATATCATTAAATCATTTGGTTGCTGATTCTAATGAAGTAAAATTGGAAAGCAATGATAGATAATCTGTCCATCCCTACCATGGGCTTACAAAACTATCTGACCTTCTCTCTCATAAATAATTCATGAGCCAAAAAAAAGAAATGATAATGTAAGAGATAAAATATTTATAATTACAAAATAATTCAGGGTTATTTTTTCCTAAACTAACACAGAGGAGAAGGGAGCCAATAACATTTTCCCACTTTCCTTACCCACTTACCTTTCTCTCAGCCCTGCTGCCCAATACTAAGGGACAACCTCTGTTAGAATTGTCTCCATTTATAAATTTCTGTTCTTTACTATTGTTGTCTTTAAAACACACAGTCTCGTGTTTATGCTGCCCCAGCCTTGTGGGTAGGAGTGGACAACAAAGTGGAGAGAAAGGGTCTCCTTTATGAACCTTTTGTTATTTTATCAAGTAACTTTTTTTTTTCTGTTTTGGAAAGTAGTGGTATAAATTAATGTTAGAAAATTTGGAAAGTGAATCAGTTTTTATAACATTTACATGAAAAGTAATTATATATTACTAGAGGCCTGGTGCACAAAAATTTGTGCACTCGGGGGGG